ATATATATATATATATATATATATATATATATATATATATAATTGAATTGATTATATATGTGTTCGGTATGGTGGAGGTTATTTTTCTTCATTATTGATTCCGGCGCGGGATCGTATTCTGGTATTATAGCTGTACTCGCCCCGCACTCAGTTTTGCTGTATTGATCTCCGGTGCTTCTTCCTCATCGAATCCATGGCGCTGATCGAATGGGATGCTTTCGAGCGTTTTTTTTGAGTGCTATCGATTGGATATATACCTCCATGTGATCAAGTACACTGGTTTCCTTTGTGTAACGTTTATGCAAGTTCGTTACTAACCCATCCCCAGTCATCACATACGGAATTGTTTTCGTCCTGCATTTCATCTCTGCCCCGAGTTTATTAGCCAGTAAATCGTACTTTCGCTTTTTGTCAGGCTGGACTGCTATCAACTTGTCCTGAGCCGTGACCTGATGCCAACTTCTACCATGAGTACTTTGTGTCGCTTATCGTATACAAGATGTCCGGTCAATCTGCTGTATATATATATATGAATATATATATGGGCCGATCTGCATTAACATTGTACGACGGATCGGATTTTTCTGTATTGATTCCTACATTGGATTGTGTTCCGGCATTCTAGCAGTACTCGACTAGCACGCAATTATGCTAGTTCGGGTACACTAGTTGAGTGCTTACTCATATCCTTCACGTAGCTTTTTTCAGCATCCTCACCTGTTTTCCATTTGTTATCATTTATGATTCCAGGCCTTCTTTTCGTTTATCTTATTTTCTGATTTGTGTTGCGATCCCACTAGCTGGCCGCTCAACCGTTCAGCGAAGCCGAGCTATTTTTTTATATAATAATTCAAATGGAAATAATATATATGCGTAACATACGAATTTGACTTAAGTGGAAGTTATATAGCACTAAGGGTGCAAAATGGGCTCTAAAGAGCAAGTCTTGAGATGTGCTCGTAAAGTGTCACTTAGAAAGATTGGGATCAAAAAGTAAAACAAAAAACGTTAAGTAGAGAATCGGCTAGGATCTGTTAGTTGAGTAATGTCTTTTATGTATTAAGGGTGAAGATGTCGAGTTGCTATTTTATATGAGGTATTCCCGGAATGTTATGATGTTAAGTGGTCCATAATTGTCACTATTATCAGGTTAAATTGTTTAAATTATTGTTCATTGCACTGTTTCGTTTTATTATCAAATGACATTTACCTTTGTTATTAAATAAGATCAGCCTTAATTTCCCAGCTAAAAGGAGCAGTTCAGATATGGTCATCCAATAACAATGTTGTTAAGATTTTTCAAGCCTCGAAGGAGTTTTTTCTCATTGAAATTACCCACCAATTTGAAGGAATATCAAGAGAAACGAGTTGTCGGGTACACGATACTTTAGTTAATAATTATATATGTTCTAGATATGATCTGCTAGTATTATTTTTCATAACGCTAGAATTATCATTGCCAATTTGACTCTTTCATACTAACAATAGTATGCTCATTAGTATGAGTTTCATACTATTGTTTAGATAATTTTTATGGAACAAAAATTAGCTTTGTTTAACTCTGTATTTCAAGAAGTTCGACACAGTTTTTGCCAGTTTCATTCATATATTTATAGAGTCGTATTGTATTGGTTTTTCAGATTCACTGCATGTGAAATGTTTAGCATCGCAGCAAATGTTTGGGAATATCCAGAATTTGTTCCGTGGTGCCAACATGTAACAATTAAAGAAAGTCCTTTTTTGTATTTGATTTTCGTTCTATAAAAGAAATACGAGTATTGGAGTACCATGCGCAAAACATGAACGATAACAATACACTTTCTGGTGTATAGTCAATACACCGGGGAGCTCATCGTATTAATCTACGAATTATTTGCGGATTGTTCATAATAATCTCCGATACATCTCTACGAATTATTTCTTATCACTTGATAATCTATGTTTCACTAAATTTTCATGATTGTGACTCTACTTTATACGAAGATCGAAATCCTGGCAAATGTTTTTAGGGGCGTTCATCAAATTCATTCATAGCTCAACTTCGTATTGGTTTCCCACCTGTTTGTGAAACGTATACTTCTCGAATTTCTGTCATGAAACCAACAATAGTCCGGGTAACCACTAATTATTTTTATACACGTAGATCCATGTCTCTGACGATGACATTAGCATTGATTAGTAATTGTTATATTGATTCTCCACAACTAATTCCTGGTCCAGGACCTCTATTTTTGAAGATTTTCACTAACGGAAGTTTTTTTTTAGTCCGTATGTACCGACAATAGATTGTTCAAAACGCTGGAATCAACTTGGCAATTTAATAAGGGTCACCCTGATAACGTCCGCTCTTGCACTTTAATGTTCACTCTGGCATTCCAATTCAATTCAGTATTTCATTCTTCCCTCGCTCATCATTTCTTCGATCACGTAGTAGAGACTATCGTAATCGCATTCTTGAAAAGAGCAGAAGCCAAATATGGCTCACCATCTTTCGATCACTATAAGGACTACACAGTTTTGAAAAAAGTTCGTTGATCTCTGGTTTGGCTGTCCAGCAATGAATAATTCACCTTCTATTGCTTCCACTTCTCTTGCATGTCTATATTAGAACTGAAACTAATACAGAAATTTATATATGAACTGATAAGGAATGCAATACATTGTGAACTACGGAAAAGGCTGGTAAGGAGTTTATTTAGGAATAAAATGTATGTGACAAATTTAAAGAACTTCTTTTATTCGGATAAGAGATAAAGAAAAAAAAAGTAAAACCAGTAATCAATTAACTGCAGAATCAAGTGATCTTAAGAGCCATGTAATATTAACTCATTTCATAATTACAGTGATACTGTATTATGTAATATATATATATACTTATCAGCCAAAGCCTTGCATCAAAATTAGAATCACATAGTCCCGCCACACGAGTGTCAAATATTTGCACAAAGCGACAAGACAAAGATCGAGTCCAGAGTGAATCTGGATTTACTTCTGATCGTTTCTATAAATTTCGTATGGTGCATTTGTTTTCAATGAATCTTCTGTTTATAGCGTTTTAAATGATCGTTTACATTTTACGATTGTTCCGATGTTCGCAAAAGTTGTTCCAAATATACAAAAGCATTTCGGGCAGCACATTCCTTTGCTTCTGTTTCTGTTTTCCCATGTCCATGGAAAACATTATTATCATCCGTGCCAGCAATTGAAAGCAAACATAGCTTAACACCTAGAACAAGTTTATTTCAATGAATAATTGGGATTTTATGTTCTTTGTATCAATTCTTAGTTCCTCTTTTACACATATTTATTCTGTTACATTTATGCTGATTAGCCAAAAAAAAAAAAATTACCACTGCCATCGGGATTCAGAAATGAAAATTTCATGGTTTCCGGACGAAAAATTTTATTGATATTGTCGTCTCCTGAATTAATCAAGTCGTTTAATGATTTCACAAGCTTTTGAGTTAGAGAGCCATTTCGAAAAGTTGAGTGCACTTTTTCTAAAGATTCTGGATGCTCTATGTTCTCTAAGAAAACATCAAACAAACTCTGAAAGGATTCATGTTAGTAAGTTCAAGGTGGGAATATTTAAACCAACAGACTACCAATTTTTCTGTATATCAGTGTTTTTTTACCTCACTGTTCTCATGAATTGTGGCTTCTTCACCACCATCTTCATTTGCAGTCTTGCTTCCAGATACATCCAATGTGTTTGAATTATCAGTAAGATCCGCATCCTCTTCCATTCGGAGGAACATCAATTTTGCAGCAAGTGATTTCGCTATCTAGGGACAGTAAAGAAACGCAATTCTATACATGTTGCTACTTAAAAAAGTAAACGCTACATTTTAACAATGAGTGTCATGCAAGTAGAGTACAAAGTTAAGATATAATGAAAAAAGTACTGGTATCTTTATCCAGCTTCTAACTCGAACAAGTTGACAGACTGAAAAAAAGTAATTTGTCACAACCTTTTTTGTTTTTCCTCGTGCTTCGACAGTAGTAACTCCTACGCTACAAGTAGCTATAAAATCACGTTGGGTGGCAGAAGTCTCTTCAGTGATTTCGTATGTTGGATTCGGAAGCTTAAGTCTTTGACATCTCAAAAAACCACAATGTTACGGTCTACTGCACAAATGTCAAAATTTGCTGAAATGCCAGAATTATGACAAAGAACAACTTGAATTGCAAATATGAAGACCTTTCGTTTACTTGTCCAATCCAATTTTCTACAGCGCATTTATCTCCAACTTCTCGTTTTTGGAAATCTTCCATCAAATTTTCTCTGTAAAAATAACTATATAATCAAAAATTCATTAAATTAAAAACAAACAGAAGAAACCATGAATTTTCATCAGAAAACGAAACACAGCTTACAAACTTGCAATTGCCTCTTCTTTCGTTTGTCCAAGACCGAATTCCTTGAATAATTCTTTTTCAACAAGCTACAAAGTAATTGGTTTAGGAACTACGAACTCTTTTAATTTTATTATTGCTCCCCCAAGAACGGTGATATACTTTTACTTAGATACCATTTCATGGTATATTGATCTTCAGTTTCCCATCACTTTGTTCCAAAAGTCACAAGTTAAAAAAGTTAATGGTTACATTACTAGATTGTTAATTAAATTTACACCTAAAGAGCTACTAAATTATCTTATTTTGGTTAGTTTTAAAATGTATCAAATTATCATCGATGATGTGAGAGTAAAAAGCCAATTCGTTCTAACTCTTCGATAATTTTCTTGAATTAGCCAAATTAAAAGTAAACAACATAGTAGTCTGCCTAGAAAGTGAAAAAATCTGCTAACTTTTAGTAACATTTCTTTTGCAGCCATCTGCTTAGCTATTTTCTTTGTTCTCCCATGACCGGTAGTGTGATTATTATACAGTTCACAGTTTATAGAGAAAAAAGCGTCCTAAAATATGACCCAAAACAAATTGAAGACAAAATGAAAATGGACTAGTAAATGAACGAGTGCAGTATAATTCTTAAATTTCTATCACATATACTGAAGAAATTTGCAGATTTGTCGTTTGGAGGTGAAATATTTCGTCCATTAACCGACAGCTTAGATGACATAAGTTTTCAATAACAAAACAAATTACCATTAAAATCAACTATAAATCAAGAATATATTTACTGATTTCATGCGATCAAGTGAAAATGTAGGTAAGATCCTATTGTAGTACTTCATGCATCCTTCCTCGAGAATGTTCACAAATGTTTTCGTAGGAACAGCAGGCGCGGGTCTAATTACTTCATTTGTTAATGGTTTTATTATTTCTTCTGTAATGTCATCGTTCTCCTTTGTCTTCACAACATTTCTGCTTTCCTCAGTCTTCTGACACTTCCTGCCAGCTGCTAAATCTACATCCAAGTCAATTAACTGAAACAAAAACATGCTCTCTACACATAAGATCTTATTATATTCGTCAAAATATTTCAAACTTTGAATCAAGAGCTCCAATACTGCCTATATAAATACTTAATATACATCATTCATTTTAATGAGTGTCTACCCTTACCGTAAAAAGTGTCTCTTCTTATCATGAGAAATTTTTTCGAGAATTACTTTTTTTAGACAGTGTAGAAACAGTAATTTATTTCTCTCTCGTGAAAACCTTGCAATTTAAATTTTCCATGAATAAAGTATAATAATCATTTTCGAAAAATTACATTAAAAATTTGTTTTCTAATCTTTTTCAAGCCAGTAATGAAATAAGAAACCAAAAAGCAGGAAAAGCCTAACAAAAGGTTAGTTACTCTATAAATAACTTGACAGGATTAATATAAGTTCCCCTTTACTTGAGAACATAAACTTTCCTACTACATCACATTCGGCAGCCCATAACTACTTTTAGAACTATATACTATTTTGCTTAGTTTTCAAAATTTATCAGACGTTAAAATGTGAGAGTATAAAAAATCGATGACGTGAGAGTAAAAAATCAATTTGACCTAGCTTTTTGATAACTTCTGATTCATCATTCTCGTCAAATCACTAATTCTGCCACGAAGTAATATTACTTACGTCCTGGCAAACAAAATATTCTGGTTCTCGACTTTGTAACACACTTGTGTGCGTAAATATTTTGTATAGTTCTTCTTCCATACTCTGACTGATTTCTAAACCTTATCTGAGATTTAATCAAAATATTATATTCAAAAAATCCACAGTTTTAGCGTCATAATACACTTAAACAGCATTTTGTGACAAAAAATTCAAACATCATTTATTACAAATTTGATTTGAAAGTAACACTCTTATTTTCTTTACATTATTTTACTGCAACTGATTTTTAAATTGATATTGGCAGACGGAAAAAGCATCTATGAAGTAAACAATCTTAAAAAATAATTAAAAACTATTTGTATAAAAAACTACTGCTCAGTTTTTTAGACAAATGCCAACATCAAAAACTACTTTCTGCATTAATGACAATAATCAATGACTGCATACTAGAATAATGTAAATGAGAGAGTTAGTGAAGTAAACTACTACAGTAAATAACAAAAGTGTAAATGACAACGGTGGTGACACCGATTTAAATTGTTATTCTTTACGTAATTCCACGCTTTCTACAGAAGAATCTTATTGTATTCATCAAAAGCTTCAACATTTCCCATACAAACAGTTCATTTTAATGAGACATTCCCTCCCATTACATAATGTAAAAATTATGATGGCGGTATGGACTCAGTTTGCGAAAAAGTTGTTGTGATTATTGGATCATACAAGTAGATGCGACTTAGCATTGATGTACTACACGCAAATGTTTGTTTCCATTGATTGCTTGTTATAGATCTGTTTCTGATCAATCATGCAGAGATTGAAGCAGCTGCATTAAAATCTAACACTGTGTAACAAGTTAACGCAACTTTTAATTGCAGTAAACGTCAGTTTATAAGGTGAAATGTTTTTGTCGAAACTTAGGTTAGCGGCTAAACGAACAGATATACGACCGTTTCACAAGCATATCTTCACAGAAAAAGTATTGGATAGACTCTATAGTAGTAAGTTTTTAATTTTCTTGAGTCTAAATTATTACTGTAGTGCATGCTACAAAATATATTTAACAAAGCATACTGCAATTATTTATGTTGTACCGTAAAGCAAACCAACATTATTCACACTGTATCTACCTTTATTTTTTCATGTTTTGCGATCATCGTATAATAATGAATTGTAGAAAATTATGAAGAAATATCAGCTTTGCTTATTATTTTCCAAGAAAACTTACAGCTACAGTTACGGTGATGATTGGTGGTGCACTATTCATGACATCGTATGCAATGGTTAATATTATTATGTACTACAAAGTAGTGAAACCTATAAGAAAAGCTGATCAAGAACGATTAGAGAAAGATTTAGTTGAGGCTGATGAAGCGGGTTTTTCTTTCAAGAAATAGATGCTGAATCTACTATCTGCAGGATGAAATAGTTTTGTAAACTTTGTCACTGTTTTATTACTTTTTTTTGAGTAGTATTCAAATGTATTGCCTTCTTGTGCACTTTGAATACCATTTTAAATTTTGTTATTTTACCTTAATTTATTTAAAACGAATTATCCAAAATTTGATCAGCCAACACTTTAAATATTTGGAGCATTGATTGCTGTTTGCTCTAGAGACCATCTTCAAATTATTGCTATAAAACAAACTGTTTGCATAACTTTTGTTTTCCAGAAATGGATGGTTTTGAGGCTGTTTTAGGTATCTGAAGTCCAAGTAATGTTCACAATACTGAAGCTTTATGTGCAATTCAATCGTTTTTGGACTAGTTTTATGTTTTTTTTTCAATAGTGAGACCATGTAAGCTAATTGATTCCAGTGATAACTTTGCTTAATATAATTAGTTTTATTCTTCGTTTTAGAAACAAGTTAAAATTTGATCAGTTAGTTATATTGTTTGGAAAAAAAACAAATTGAGATAAAATAAATTTCATGCCTCTTAGATGAATTGACCTGATTTATAATCTGAAAATGAAATTATTCGAATTCTTATGATTTGTGTTTACAATATATTTTAGAATGTGTGCTGAAACTGTTATATGCTCTTCTCATGTTCTCAAATATTCTTTGCTGAGAACTATGAATTTTTTGAATAGTAGCTTTTATTACTTTTAGAACTACTAAAGTTTGAAGAATTTCAATAGTGATTAAAAAATGCAATGTCTTTTCTCTCATTATTGTTTACGTGTGGATTTCATACAGAATTTTGCCTGGTTTTTATTACTCTGAGTATTTTCTGGTGTTCGATTTTGCTTCTATACATGAGTAGGTAATCGGTTATTATTTAGTCGCTTATGTCGATTTTTGAAGTTAAGAGCAAATATTTCGATACGAATTTCGTTTCACTTATTGTCTTCTAATATACTCTCTATTTTAGATGGTTTCACGTAAGAATCTGTTCATGCAGTTGCTTCGATCTGATGTAATTTACTGGTTTCCAGCTTGTATATTGTTGGGAGCGGCTTTCGAACTTTTTAAGGTGATTGATTTTGCAAATTTGAACAAAATATTTGTCGTGAGATTGCTTTCGTCTGTTAAAATTTGGAAACTGGTCCATTAATAGATTCTTCATTTCTTTATGTATGCATCTTATCCATTTCTTTTGCTAGTATGCTCAATGGAGAATTTATGCTAATATTTGCAAATAAAAAGTTTTTGTTGATATATCCCATTACAGACAAAGTTCACATTTATGGGTGTGAATTATTATACAGTATTCAAAAAAAAACAAATGTTGCAACAATTAGATGATTTTGAAAACTGGCTCAAACAAATGGATGAATTGTCGTCTCAAGCAGTGCAGTCACAGCTTGAAGCAAGAAAGCTAAACTCTTCAAAGCAGTCATAGTTTTATTTAATTTCAGCTGCTTAAATTAGGTCTGCCAGAAATCTAGAAGAAGAATCCAGTTCCTTTTAGTTTTCTTTGATGATTGATAGTTCTACTGTCAAGATAAAATATGCTCAGATAAAAGCTGGTCGTAAAGATGATAGAGGAGGTACTCAAGAATCATTCTATTACTAGCTATTGAAAAGCTTATGTTTAAGTTTTGAGATTAAATGTTGAAGTCATTTAAGAAATAGTTTCCATAGCTTGATATCTGAATTTCACACTAATCGATTTAGTTATTGGTTGCTTTGTATTTAGTGACTTGAAACTGAAATTTTGTTACAATTGCGCAGATATTCATGGTGCAAGGACTTTTTGCTACGCTTGTTTGTTTAGCTGAAATATCAGTAACTTTATGTATTTATTGTAGAGAAAACTGCCTTCTCTGGAAATTAATACCTGGAAATATTTATTTTATACAGCAAGTCTTATCTCGTATTTCCATGAAATCACTGTATTCAACGTTTAACTTACGATGATTTAAAAATTTTTGGTCAAATTGTCAGATCGTTATTCATTTAATTAATTTGTAGAAATTGTTTTTCGTTTAATTTTCAGTGCTTCGTCAATACCAATTTGTTAATAAAAACTTGCTTGCCGTTACTGATTGATAATTATTCGTCATTAAATAACAAACGAAGCGTAAACGACAGTAAGAAAAATGAGTTCATTATGAACCTACAGCAAATAATAAATCGTTCGACTTTATGCTGTACTAGTCGAAAAAATCTTCTGATAAATAATGCTCCGAATATGCTGTTTCTGTTTTGTTCATAGTTTCAGAATTTATATTTATGATGATCACATCAGCAATCTTGTTCTTATGTACAAAATTCCTTAACAACGTAACTAAATCATTTTTTCTTTGTAAAGGTGTGCCTAGTTCGACTACTCGAAAGTTATATCCGTGGGAATAATTATAAAATTGCTGCTGAAGTATCAATTACTTAGCTGCTCACAGGTTGCTTACTCTCCGAGTTACTCATTTACTATTGTCAATAAATAAGCCTATGATTTGATGAGCGTAGCGCAGATCAAATGCATTGGGCTCATAACCCAAAGGTCAGTGGATAGGAACTACTGGCTGCTATGGCGTTTTCTTGCCTGATATGGGGGATATATACTATATCTTAACTGATGAATAAGTAATTGACACATGAGTTGTAAAAGTGTATAATATATTGGCCAGATCACGCGGCGCAGTGGAAGCGCACTGGCTCCAAAAGTTAGAGGACAGTGGATCGGAACCACTAGTTCCAATGCCATACTGTTTTTGTATGGGAAATATTTATATAACTTGTGTAGACATGACTGACGCAATACGGAAAGCCGTTAATTTCTTTCTCGGAATCCGGTAGTGAATCATAAAGAAGTATGGTCAGTTTAGGATTAGAAGTTTAAAGAGTTGCAATGAGGGAAGATCTGTGGTTTATTCGATAAGTACAAGTACCATACATACTTATGTATAGCCAACACTTATGCTCAATCAACACCATAATTAATTAATTTAAGAAACTGAAGCTAATAAATTGCCTGCATCGAAGTACTAGTGCACTGCTTGTTTCGATGCTCACAAGAATTTAATTCATTAGCAATCAGCCGTAGAAGATCAGCTTGTCTGCTTGATGAGCTCTCCAAGTGGACTTAGAATCTGAAATGAAAGAACCTAGTTAATACTTTAATTGCTGCAAGTGATTACTTATGAGATTTACAGCAACCTTTTCCACAAAATATTAATTGTTGTACATATTTTTTGGTCGTAGTTATTTACAAAATTGTGATATAAGAATACAGTTAAGATTGACGCCATTTTTGTAAAATCTTACCGTTCTTACAGTCCGATTTGTTGATTGTGCCTTCAACTTATTCATAATTATTCGATGTCATGCAAATAATGCAAAAATTGAATGTTAATATATTTGCTATAATTAATGATAAACAGATTGTTGTGTGTAGTAAAATGATAATTTGATAAGCAGTCATCCTTAACTTAAGTAAATATTATTACCATTATAGGTTATTATTGTCTTTGCTCAAATAATATGAAGAAATGAACTGCGTGTTTTACGTGAAAAATAATTATACGAGTCAGTTGCGAAAAGTTAATTAAGTCAGCTTTTTGTGAGCAAATAAATTTATATGAAAATCTTTTCAAAAAAACACTCAAAAGTACTTACTATGTTTAGAGATGCGCAGTTACTAATCATTTTTATAAGTTGTTCTAGTCAGATATGGTTAGTTCATTTAAGACTTCTTGCATTTCTGCCATTACATGTTATTGATTGATCATAAAAAGTTGCTCTAATAAGTTTTGAACATTAACACTGATAATTTCGTGTAATTATTTCAGATCAAGCTTTACGATTAAGAAAGATTAACTTTCTGCAACGAGAACTTGATAAGATACTACACGACTGTTGAAGAGAAAAAAGTCTTCAATTATGATTACTTTGTGATCTTTGAAGAAGCATTTACGTCTTATTTGAATTTGTCTGCTTATCAAGCCATAGGCATATGTTTACCAGCAGGTGTGCATTTGGAGCATTTTGGAGCATGAATTGAAAAAGTAAAATTATTTGTACTCGACGGAGAGATTACACTGCTGGGAAGCTTTTAAAAACAAATTTACTAGTTCAAAAATATAAAATAAAATACAAAAAATAAATTGAGCAAGTCATCTTTTGACCTTTTTCGAATTATAATAGCAATTCGCAGAACAAATAAAAGAGCAACAAAGGGCAAGCATATTCGTCAATAAATAATACATTTGCATTCTTCATTAGCAATTTTTAATTTAAAATTTAATAATTAATTGGAATTTTAAATTTAAATAACTGACTTTGTATTTTCCTAGTAATGAGATTTTTGCATCATACTGTACTTCACGACAAATACAACAACCTTTGAAACATGGAACAGCAGTCACTAACTTACTAGTTTGATGCATTCATGCATGTCTTGACTCATTTATAATTAAATAATGATCACAATGAAAGTGCTCTAAGATTAATCCAGTTTACGTAAGAATCGCAATTCCTTTTTCCCCCTCTACGAGCAAATTATTCATCATCTACTTTTATTTCAGAAAGTTTCTCCACAATACAAAATGTTTTTTGAAAATCTGCGCAGATTTATGCACCAATTTCTATCTACCATATATTTCAACAAAATTTTGAGAGTTTTTTCTTTTTTTAGACTAATTTTATTTTTATCGCTAAAAATAAAGTAAACCTAAATTGTTTGTTGTTAGTATATGCAATATTAAAGGTTAAACGAATTATAATGATAATACATGGGGTCAAAATATTAATTGTACATATGATTAAAGGATGTTTGAGGGTGTACACATCTGTTGTAGCTGCTCAAATTGGCTATGTAATTGCCGTTGCTTCTCAATTAATTTCTCCTGCCTTCCTTCAAGTTCGGATGCTATTTGCCGAGTTCCTGAAATCTAGCAGTTTGATAGATCTTTGTGATCCTATTAGAAAGGCTAAATATGCTTAACTAGCTCTTTACTTCATCCTTTTATCACATTCAATAATCTCCGAAAAATGTTTATTACTCGATTTGAACTTTACTATCAAAATTTGAATTTAAAGTTTTTTTGCAGTGTTCTATGTTTGTTGCTTCTTTCTTAAAAATATTAGCGAAAAATTCGGTGAAAAAAGTGGTTTGTTGATATAAAATACTGTTCTAACTTATTGTACTGTCGAGAATACTGTAAACTACATTTACAAAAGTATATTTTGATAATAATGTGAAAGTAATTTGAGAAAGTCACATCACTATTGAAAGTACTGCTATGTCAGCTTTTCAGAATATAGAAAGTAAATTTGACTTCAGAAAAAGGACCTAGAATTCCCAACAGAGAAAGTGCAATACAGATGTCAGAACTCAAAAGAATCCTGCGAATTAACTAGAGATTCGTCAGAGCTGAGCACAAAAACATACTCAGTGACATAAATTTACATAATAAATGTAACTATATGTAATCAATAACATCTTGAAAACAATTTTCAAGTCATCAATACTCGCCAGAGAGAGTCAATAATTACAGTTGAGATTGGTAGGGACATTTTTTACTCTTTTCATGGAAGAATAGAAGAAATTAAAATTGTTCATTTCGCTGTATAATATGAGATTATCTTGCAGGTTAGTTACTAATAAAATTGCTGCAATAGGAAACATATAGGAAGAAGTAAAGTTAGTTAACCAGAATCAGGCGATATGCATTCAATAGCTCTACGCTGTATTTCTTGCATCTCAGATGGTGTGAATCGCCTTCGCACGTCTAAAGTTGAGTAACGTTCCGGTGGTTTTGGTGGGCCATTGCGAATTACCGAATCAGATCGAGTTGAGCTTGGTGATCGTGACTTGGATCTTTTGTCTCTTTGCACGGTATTTGTCAGTTCATCTAATATCGAATCTAATACAGTTGCATCCGAGCTAGTCTTCGAACTATTTGATGTGCCTAAATTAAGCAAGAAATCTACAAAAGCTTCTTCATTGTATCAATGCTACGCTTGAAAAAAACAAATTTTTGGTGCCATTTTCTTCAAATAACACTGTTATAAGAAGCAGTTATTATGAAAAGCCTTTGCCTTCCATTATTCTACTAAATAATGGTACAAAGATTAAAAAATTCTGCTCTGTTTTGGCGCCAAGCATAGAATTTATTAGCATAGAATGACGAAAAGTACCGATGATTTATTTTTTCACTTTTATATAGTAAAGTCTTGTAGATCACAAAGTCACAAATGCTAAAATAACTTAAGGCAGTAAGGTAATGAGAATGGGGTATTTTCATCATTGGAGAGTCTTGATGATATAAGCTGATGATAGTTATTATTGTTAATAGATCCCCAAAAATTCAAATGCTTTAATCAATAAATATTCTTTCGACGTATACTGAATATTTTTTCCAGATTTCATCTACCTTACCAGTCTCATATAATGCAAGTTAATCTCAGACTATAATGTCATAAATGATGTATGAGATACCTTCATAATTGACAGGTGCAGGTGGTACAGGTGGTGGTTGTGGGTCATTGTGAAGTTCAGCTCTCTCAACTCGTCTATCTTCGTTAATCCCACTGATAGGATAATTCCTTACAAATTTTCCACTGTTGCATCTAGCATCATCTTCCCTTACAGTAAACAAATTACGGTTGTTTCGTTCAGATTTGGAACTGTTCAAACTTGGGTCCTGAACCATTGCTAGCTTCTTCATGGTAACCATCATATTAGCCAAAGTTTTGCATCTTCTCAGGCACTGATCAATTTGCGCTGTTTCTTCTTTTATGAACTTCTCCTCGCAAACTATTCGTTCCATATTCGCTTTGATTTCTTTTTCCAACTCGCTTCTCACAGCTGGAAACTGTGCTGCAAACAATTTGATTACTATATTCTGATACAAATATTACAATACAAAAAGCACGATAATTTTAATAGTGTGATCGAAATTAACTTTAATATCACTTTAAGTTTAATTAAATTAGGTCACCAAAATATGGCAATTTTAATTTGCTACAGATTTATTTAACTTTACTAATTTAACATTTTCGTTGCAAAATTTTGTTACTGTTTGAGTACAATATTTGAGTGTTTGAGTAGATAATTTATTAATCGATTAGCTCTTAAAATCTATTTAATAATATAAAGCTAGCATAAGCACAGCGTCAAAAATGTGATAGTTATTTATGGTACAAAAATGGTTGCATAAAAGTTGATCGTCAAAACTTTCTCATGAAACTAATTCTTCAGTATTTGCTCTACAGATAAATGAAACTATCCTTTTGTTTCATGCAATGATATACTTAAAAAAAATATATTTTAAAGTTTTCAATATTGTTTAATAATTATTTAATTGAATTGCAATTAATTTCAGTTTGAGGAACTTTCAGTATAAGAATACTTTATTTTCGATATCAAAGTAAAAATTAAGTAATTCGATTTCAGATCATCTAGTACACATTCTATGAGTAAAAGTCATTTTCGTTATCAATCTTTTTATGTCTAACTTTTCATTGCTTTTAGTCACCAATTTGTTTATCCTGTAATTGAATTAAGATATGATCAATCTGAATTTTTACAAACTTTTCAGTTTTGCAGCATTTCGAGCTATTTTCGTAAGCGTTTGAGTGAATGATTCCACTTCATTCATTCGTAATTTTCGGTTTGTATTTAATACTAAACGTCTAACTTGTTCTGCATTTTCTTCAAATATTCTGAAATTTCAAATTGAAAAGTATTGCTTCCATTACAAACTACTTAGTGCATGTGAATTTTTACAACTTTGTACTCGCTTATTACTTCCAGAATAAAATGATATATATCTAACAACAATAATATCATTTAAAATATGATCATAATTATTCTTATTATAACTATTTATCAATAATCGTCAGTGTTAATAATAATAATAATTATAATTATAATAATTATTATTATAACAATTACTTTTATTACTATTATTTTGGTGTATCAATATAATTTTTCTGGGATTTCGTTTATGGAAAAGATAAGCTTTACCAAAGGAATACCAACGCGTAATTAGCTAGGAATATTTTTCACCGAGTGCTCAAAAAAAATAGTAATAATTGCAAGATGCTTTTGGCTTAAGTTGCTAGTCTGACTTTTGTTTGTTTAAGCTAATATTTGAGCAAAAAAACAAACTTCGAATTCTCAAAAGAAATAATATAAAGATTAGGCATTGCAACTTAGATTTTTCAGACAGCAACCCTTTTTTTGAAAAGAAAACATTTGTGTCTCAGTCGAAATTTGGATGCTAATCTTTGCTAATCTTGAAAAGTAATTTAAAGATTAGCAAAGTTCCAACATTGTCTCTTAGAGTAAAATTACAGTTGGAAAAAACTGTGCTTTTTTTAAAAAAAAAAACGATTTGACCATTTTTAAAATATTTTTTTGAAAAAATACAAAAATTGAGAAAAAAAGCTCTCCGATTTTTTTAAGAAGTGATTAAAGAAACACTTACTGCAATGATTTTTGAAGATTAGCGATTTGAGTGATATGTTCAGTTTTCACAGCCTCCGTTACACTGCTTAGCGAACGTTCTTGCTTAGCACCAGTGTGATCCGTGACAAATCGCTCAATCCGATTAAATGCATCACGTAACACTTCACGTGACGCCTGTGTATTCATCTAAAATGTTTTGCGAAAAATTGTAGAAAAAAATCGTTTCTTTCTAATTTTTCATTTTTTCAAATTATTGTATAATGATTTCATCTTTGATATGCATTGTGATAATCATTTCGTGTTATTTTTTTTAATTTTAAGGAATATATATTCCATACTTGTACAGTTCGTCGCATCTGTTTAAGCTGATTTTGCGTTTCGCTAACAGCTCGTTTTAATTTCACTAACTGTTGCTGAGTTTCATTATTCAGTAAGACAGAATCCGGTAAGGAAACATCCATACTTGGAACACTGTTTTCTGACGCTACTGATACTACTAAATTATTGAGTAATCACAAGTGCAGATAATCGTAACTTGCCTTCAGTATCACCATATATACCTTTATTTGTATAATAAAATTGAGAAATAACTTTAATCTGTCAAAAATTTATCTCAAATGCTATTATAATGATACGAAATTACCAAATAAATTTATTTCTATTATCTTTAACTGTAGTAATCAAATTTATAATAATGATATTAATAATCCATATTATTATTATTATTAATACTATCATTATTGATACTATCATTTTATTATTATAACAATAATAGCAGTAATAAATGGTTGAAAAAATGTTACCATCAGGATGAAGCGCTAAGATTTGTTTGCGAAGTTCATGCATATCTCGTTGACTGCTTTCGCTCATACCTTTACTTACTAGTGCAGAATGTACCAAGGTAGATAATCCTGCTAACTGACGTTCCATCGTTTCCATTCGAAATCTAATTTTTGTGTTTCACTTTCATTTATTTTTGAAAATCAGAAAGCTAATTTGAAAATGAACTTGATTCTACAGTTCAAAGAAGCCTATAATAGTTGAGGTTTAGTATCAGACAGCATTTGTAGCTAAGAAAGTTAAAACAAATACACAAGAAAAATCTCACTTTTTTATTTATTATTTCTACTTTTTCAACAGAACAATAACTTTTTTGAATTTATTGTAAACTGATTCTTACCGTGCCTCCTTGTCAACTATTGGAGTGATTGATCCCGATCGTTCTTGGCTGCTTGCATCACTGGCATAAGGATCGTAATATGGATCGAAACGAGATGATAACGGTGATCTGAATTCGGAATATTTTGATACAACTACCCTTAAAAATCATGGTTATTTATCTACTAGTGCGCGGATGACAACGCTTACGCTTCAGATAATATCAACAATAACATCAAAATATTCAAACTTCCAATTAACAATCACAACAAAGAATAATAATAGCAGATTTCATGCTTGAAAGAACTGTTCATTAAGAACAAGAATTTGACATCTCCTCTGAAAAGTAAAGTATTTCAGTCGACTCAAATTAACCTCAAATATCTCACAACTTGGCAAAAGTTTGAATATGCCATAAATCTGATAACTGCAAGAGAATTATTATTCATTCTCAAGCAGTATTTCAGTTCTGAATAAAGATGCAAATTTTTTAGATAATAATGCATAAGCTATTATATTTGCAAGAGTACAATTACTGAATTTTAGTACTGTATGCTCATATTATCAGTTTTTATGAAAGTAATGTACTGAACATTAATGAATAAAGTTATTCTCATCAAGCAGTAAACTGTACTTCGCTTGCATCAGATGAATTTTAAAATATCAAATTCAAGGATTACAATTAATGTGCTCAAATCTTACCTCGCTGATTTCATTGTACCAGTAGTAGAAAGCAAACGACCGTCTAAAGCACTGGAAGGTCTATAACGTTGTGATGATAATCGATTTCGATAATCTATCATATCGACTTCTGATTCACTTAAATAATCAATGGGTGGGTGATCAGTGAATCGGATCGGTTGTGATGGCTGAAATCCTCCCGACTGTTCTCGTAGTTTTAAAACTGCTTGATCCTTTATATCTCTATAAGTAGTGAAAATTGATAATTTCACAAATATTTATGACATTTAAATAACATTATTATAGTGCAAATTTCAATTAAATTCAGTACATACTTTCTTGTTGCCTAATGCGATATCTATTGATATTTATTGTATAATAAACAAGTTTTATATTATAAAACTTTTTTTTACGACGAGTAAATAAAATAGAATGATATAACATTTATTTTTTTAACGACTAAAGAAGCAAAACTTGCATTTACAATAAGTAAAAGGTCATGCAATTCAGAATGCCTTTTGACGTAAGGTAATTAACACGAAAAATCAGTTTCAACAGATATCTCAATTAATCAATTGATTGACTTTTTGATCTGATTTTTTTCTTTTTTTTAAATATATAAATGTGATATATGGTTATAATACACAAAATATTTCGGATAAGAACAGAAAGTATACTCTGAAATGCAAAAGTCAAGAAGCAAATCGTATAGTTAGTTGCTGTATGGAAAAGCAAGAAGATGACAGTACTGAGGGGCATAACTGGATATTGTGCTTACTTAGTTAGACCAGCGAATTTTGATTTTTTTGTGCTCTTCAACAAAATGCAAAAAATATAAAAATAAATCAACAAAATCAGCAAGAATTTTTGAATACAATTTAATGATTACATTTGGATTCTTTTCAGTAAAGTAATAGACAGAAATTTGAAAACAATCTCCATCGTTGGTTATTTTAATGATAAAAAGTAATGGCTTTTATAATTATTCACTGCTCGTTAAAAATTAATTATAATAAATTGTGCATCTCAATTATTTATTTATCTTTTTCTACTTTTGCCCACACAAATTACTCTTTTTAATTGTTTTAATTAATTTAATTTACTTCCAAACGCTTTCAGTATTATTTTTCAATTTTAGCTCAGAAAAGAGTAAAAAAAACTTGTGCATTTTTACAATTTTAATGCGTTATAATTTGATTGAGCAAATTTTGATTTTCGTGTGCTTTCTTGGAAAAACAAACTAAAATCAGTAAAATCAGTGAGAGTTTTTGGAAATTTTTCATTTTTTAAGTAATGACTTTTCGAGTAATTGTCATTTTTTGAAGTTTTTAAAGTGATTTTTTATGTAATTTTTATTTTTTAAGTAATGAAAAACAAAATTAACTGAAATGCTTTGTTTTTGAATGAAAATTAAAGTAATGACTTTTGTAAAATATACTGCGAAAGCTCCTAACTTTTTAATTCGTCATGAAAAGTATAAAAACGTAAAATGAATCACTTCACATTGATCAAAAACTGATTTATTACGTTTTTGAGAAGAAAGAAAAAACATTATTAAGTAGCGAGGTTATTAACCTCAAATCATCCAGTTCGTAAAAAAGTTGTCCTTTCGAGAATTCCTGTATGTAAATTTTTACGTGTGGTGAGCTGAGGTATTGTGACGTAAGCTGGGGGAATGATCGCATGAATAACGCACGTACCGTATCGATGCTATTCACGGCGGGTGGTAAAAGTGCACGTTTAACTTCATCGTTAAATTCCAGGTATACTACTCCTAAAAATTTAAAAATTTTCAAGCAGTCGAATATTTCTTACATGATGGTGAATTGACTGCTTCAAATGATATATACATATAAAAAATAGTATTCGAATGAAAAACACGTACGTGTTTGCTTTCACTTCATGACGCACATTTATAAAAGTCAGTAAAGTACACAGTCATGAATTTGAAAAGCAAAAAATCATCTGAGATTAAAAATTTTTGAAATTGAAATATATACGTATGAAATGACTGAGCATTTTGCATTCTCATTCAATCCTTTTTGAAGAAGTCAAACATTTTAGCAATTATTATTACTAATAATGTGAAAATATATCATAATCAGAATAAAAAATGATGAATGTCAAAGTAATATTCAGTAAATAGCAAATATTAATGTCAAATTAAAGTTATTCAAAGAAGCTTGATCAGTGTTACTTTCATTTGTATACTAATTGGCATCAGATAGCACTTACGCAAGAATGCATCATACTCATTGCAAGCAATATTGTACCTAATGAGCCAGGATGTTTGTTTGTCGTTACGGTAGTGCTATTTGCATAATTTGCAGTACTCTTCATTACTCCATTTATTTTTTCCTCGACTTGAAATTGCTTTTTGGTGTTTCCTTCCATCTGAAGTGCTTCTTGTTTCCCATTTTCCTCCACTTGAAACTGATTCTGCTTCTGATTCCCATTCAGTTCGTATTGCTTTTGTTTTGGTGATGGTGCTGATAACGATGCTGATAATGGTTGGTCAAGCACTTGACCACCATTAACTTCAGGCTCATCTTTGTGCTCATCTGCTTCGTTACTTGCCAAAGGTGCCTACGATAATTTGGGAATTATTAAAGATGAAAGTCTTTTAAAAATTATTACTTGGCTAATTGTCAGTGGTCATTTTTTTAACAGTTAGCCATAACTGAAACTGCTTTAAATTTGTGACTAATTAATAATGTTAATTCATATTTGAAGCAATTAATGAATTTAAATTCGTTAAAGAAATTATAACCTTTACATCATCGACGTATTTCCAATTTGCTGTATGTGTTGGGAATTTACTGCGATTATTTGATATGCCTAAAATTCATTCAAAGTAATATATTTCTGAGCTTGCATCAATAAATTTGGTAACTTGAGATTTTCAGCTAAACTTCTTAACAGATTAACTTGTTTGCTTACTTCGTGAAGGATTCATTTTTATATTAATGAATAATTATAATAATCTGCAGATTTTGTATTTTGATACTCTCTTCTATTTTCATTAATAATGATTAAAATCTAACAAAGATGTTAACATTACATAAATTGAAATGAAATACAATCGCTTAGACTGAACTTTGAATTCTTCTACTGATAAGAGTTATTCGTCAAAATATCATACTATCTTCTGATTGCGAAAATCTAGTTCAGACTCAAACAAAATTTTAAAATAATAATTAAAACAAACTTTAGCTTTATTCATTCTTTAAAAAATCATAAACTATGCATAAATATAAGAGATATAAATTTTCACTTGAATTTTGTGTAAGCATTAGTGAGCTGATAGCTAGCTTCCTTCTAGTTTAATGCTTGTTTTTGAGTTTTAAAACGCACTAAAATTCAAAAAAGAAAAGAAACTGCATGATATCTTTTATTATTTTGGCTATTATTTTCAGAAAGTTCACGGATGAATTTTACTTTCAGAAAAAATTACCAGAATGCTTCACTTATGTAATTGGTGAAATAGTCGGAAATGCATAAAATTTTTATTCGTAAAATTGCTTTTTTGAAGTTTTTCGTACATTTCACGCAGTTCTAACTACTAACTACTAAGCAAAAGTCACATCTTTTAGTGATAGAATTTAAAAGGCTAAGAAAAAAATTACAATTTGCACTCTTTAAATTTTAAAGTAATCTCTGCAGAATTTTCTGACATCGTAACAGCAAATGAGGCGAAAAAATAGTAAAACCAAAATTAAATCGCAAAAAGAATTACAAATTTTGCAGACAATTAGCGCAGAAAATATCAAAGTCAAAAGCTAATCTCGCTTAAATATTTATCCTTGCAGTTAATAATTATTATTATTATAATTATTCTAAAAATAGTCGACAAAATATAATTAAGCATTACGCTTGATTATTTCCGTACTAAAATTGTACCAAAAAATTTGGTTTTAGATTAGAAAGTTTTGAAAAATAAAATAATAATAAATTTTATATTTAATCAATACTGTATAATTTTCAAGTGATACTGTATTGATAAACAAATTAAATAATAACAAATTAAATTTTTTAAAGTAATCAAATGCATTTGTGAAAATTCAGCGTATATCAGAGTAAATTCATAAAAGGTTGAGCAGTAATATACTCACAAGAACTTTTTTTTGTAAGCAAAAGTCAATTAAATTAACTTATTAACTCTAAATTGAATAAGTAAAAAGCAGAAATGGACAAAAATGACATCAACCTGACATGTTCAAAAATTTGGAATTAAAATGTTGAATGATCTATGTGCATATAAATACCACCTCGGAGATTTATGCAAATTATTTGTGATGGCAATTTTTATTGTGCAAAATTATTTTTGTTTCTTTTCAATTTTTGCATATTCATTTCTAAATTTGCAGTTTTTTGAGAGAAAGCAGCCAGCAAACTCTGATCAAATAAATATTTTGTGTATGTATTACAATTGTGATCATTTTATTTGCCACAGACATAACAGTACTTTTACCATTTTTAGTGTTAATTCAAAATAAATCAAAAAATATAAAAATAGTTTAATCTGTTTGCTGCTAAACACACTTTTGAAAGGAATAAAAAAGGTTTAAACGGAATTTTTCTTAAATTTTTATCATTTTTCGACGTTAAATAGAATAAAATTGTAATCGAAAACGCAATTAAAATAAAGTTTGTTAATAAATAGCAAACTTGAACAGTTATGTGTTTACATTACTTGTTTGTGCTTTGGCATAAATATTATGCAAATTTTATGCTTAAATTTAACTTTGCATATTAGTTTTGAACGATAAAGCCAAAAAACCAAATCTTTGCCAGAGTTAAGTTATTGCTTTTTTGCTAAAAATTTTCACATTAAAACCTTTTTTGTATTTTTTTATAAAAAACGAATAAAACGCAAGAAAAAATTCTCATGGTGGCATGTATGTGCAATGCAGAGAGATTAAAAAATATCGCATTCAATTACGTATAAAAGTTGTTTGACCTCCAAAAGTAAACAGAACAAAATAGCAAAGCAAGCAGTATTGTTAAAACCAAAAACTCTGTAAAAAGAGAATTAGCAAAAAGTTATTAAAAATTAAAGCTTAGAAAGGATTGAATTAATTTTGTCAAATTTTTCGACAATTTTTGTCCCAGACAATCTGAGATTATAAAAATTTTGCGAATTTTTTAAACTCTGTAAAATTTTGGCCATTTATTCATTCATTCATTCATTCATTCACTCATTCACTCATTCATTCATTCACTCATTCACTCATTCACTCATTTACTCACTCACTCATTCATTCATTCATCAATTAATTCGAGCATAGCTAATTTTTGATCACTGATAAATAAAATGTAATCGGATAATAAACTGAAGTAAAACACAAGCGATTAATATGATATACAAAAAATAAGTAAATAAAAATATGAATATATGTTTACTTTTTTGAAATAAAAAATGCTTTATATAATTGCTGCTATTTTAAACATCACCTTACTTACAGCAAGAAATTTGTTTCACACATAATTCGCATGACTTAATTGTAAATTTCCAATTATAGTCAAAGATTATGTCAAAAAACCAATTTTATGCATTTTTAATGCAACAAATAAAAAAGATAGACAGCATTCAAAAAAGAATGCGCGGATTAATCTGACAAAATGCAAACTGATGAGCTTATTTACAAGAGATTATGAATAATATTACTGTTGTCAGCGAGCATTTTAGTGCTTTGTATTGTTTTGGTAGAAAAAAGTAATATAACGTTCTGAACATAAAATTTGGAGACGAACAACGTGCAGCTAACTTTCACTGAGTGTGTTATCAGTTAGATTTCTTGGGAATTAAATAACTAGCAATTGTAATGACACAGTTGCTAGTAATAATTTGATATTGTCTTTGATCACGCTATCTGTTAATTTTGGAGACATTGCATTCAAATGAAATAAAAATTACCATTTTCATTGAAATGAACCACACGTTTATTTGAATTATTATTCTTAATAGCAAGCGGAGAGTTGCAAGAGGAAGATGAAAAGTATGGTGGAATCGATGATACAGAACGTTCGGAATCCGACGTTTTACGTGCTCGGAAACGAGGCTTCCAAGATGAAAATAATCCAGGCATTCTATACTACTACTAATACCTATAAAGACTTACATCAAAAAATTAAACGATTATTTAATAATTTTTTAATGTAATGTGTCAGTTCTAAATAAATTACTAATTTTAACTAAATTTACTAAGAAAAAATAACATGGCGCATTGCATTATTAGTTTTTACAAACCGTATTTTGTTCAAATTTTGTAATCGTACAAGGTTACGTGTTAATGTAAGCTCACGTAATACGTGAGCATAAAAGAAAGTAAAGTAAGCGAAAAAGAGGAAAAGTAAAGTCTTGACTGTTCGACACAGCACAGCTGTGAGAGATGAGCAAACAAGTAGGAATTTATCTCATCTTCGCCTTCCCAAGAAGTTTACAACAGCTGCAACTGAAACAACTCAATTTCCTACTCGTTACGGAAACACATCTATCTTTTATCGCTACTATATGATCTTTAAAGCTAATATACGTGCACATACGTGTAAGTACATAACACGCGTATAATGTACAATCTAATACGTGAAAGTAAACAGACATAATAGGTAGGTATAGGCACAAAGGTCAATTTATACATGCATAAATAATCTTCGTTTATGTGAATGCATTAAGACGTGAATATACATACACATTTACACGCTTAAATGATTCAAACTAACGCTACTTGATATGTGCAGTAATTTTTATATATATTCATGCATCATCATGCATGTATTATAGTTTTAAACACAGTAATTTATACATGGTTACACGTATGTTCACTTCTGTATGCAATATATTTAACTGCTCCTGTGTTAAAGAAAATTAGCTTGTTTTACACGCATAAAAGCCTCCCAATTATAAGGTGTACACGCACAATACACGTATACATACAATTACGTTACTTATGCGTTTTGTGTGCAACTCAGTGTATACTCATATGTCCATCATATATGTGATGAGAAGAATGCAGATTTGCATAAATAAGCAGTTAGTCTTGAAGTGTACATACTTTTCTATTCACACACACGCACATTGCATGCATGCACACACACACATGCACACTTCACAGGAAGAGGTTTCTATAGGCTTCTACAGAAGTGTGTATAAACAAAAATAGATATGTACACACACAAACATATACGCATATAATGCATATAAATAAATAAATAAATAAATACAGAAATAATACAGAAATAAATTTTGGCGCATTTCATATCAAAAGTTTTCGATTGCATTGCGCTGCTGTTCGTTTTTCATATATTGTAGTTGAGTTGTGTATTTATATTTTATACACGTATAGAGATTATGCGTATGGACTATTATACTAAAGCTAAATTGTAAAGTTATGGAAGCAAATTTTATTCTTAAAGGGTTAGAATGCATTGTTGAATCCAAATTGCGCTGAACAGTTGCGCTTTGCAATGATTTTCACATATTGCTAAAACTTTACTTGCTGGACAACAGCAATAGCTATAGCAATAGCTATATATACTTACTGGACAATAACATGGCCATTAAATAGTACTTTTAAATTTACCAATTAATTATCAATCATAATTGCTTTTTTAATTACATTTCCTTTTCAGACTAATTTAATTTACAATTTTAGAAGTAATAAATTGATAATGACATGAAATGGAAAAAAGTGAAAAAATATCATTTAATTAAAAAGTTAAAACAAAATTTTAAAAAGATAAATTTGAACGTTCCACGTGAAAAGAGAATATATTGTACATTCATTAACCAGAAAAAAAATTACAAAAGTGAATCACTCTGAAGCTTTCCTTCGCGCATATAAAGTAACTTTGCGCCAAAAGGCTTTTGCTTCGCGCATTTATTTTTAACTTTTTCACTTCGTCAATGCCACACTGACCGCGAAAATGTAATCGAAAGCAGCGCTTATGTGTTTT